AAAGGTTTATTTAAAAAATTATAAATTTATTTTTATTATATAAATATATTATTGTATTTAAAATTTTATAAATAAAAAAATATTTTTAACATGTCATTGCCAAATATTAAACAAATTTATAAAGTTTTACTGAAAGAAAAAACTTGTATTGATTACTTATTTTTAAATAATATAATTCATAAACCAACATGCCAATATTGTAATTCTGAGTTAAATCAAATTAAAAAAATACTTAGATGTAAAAATCCAAACTGTCGAAAAGCAGTTTCTATTTATAAAGATTCATTTTTTGCTAAACATCATATTATTAGCTCAGATATTTTGCTGCTAGCATATTTTTGGTTATCAAAAATCAATTATACATCTATTAGTTTATTAACAAATCATTTACCCAATACAATAGTAAATTATACAAAAATATTTAGAGATCTTGTTATCAACACGTTGGAGGAGGATAACATGATCATCGGTGGAAAGGATATCATCGTGGAGATAGATGAGAGCAAGTTCAAGAAGAACAAGGATTTTTGGGTGGTTGGTGGTGTGGAAAGAACCAAAGAACAGAAATGCTTCTTTGTGGTAGCAGAGAATAGAAATCAACAAACCCTGAAAAGAATCATCAAGAAACATGTGAGACCAGAATTGATCATTCACACAGATTCGTGGAAAGGATACTATCATCTGGAAGAACTGGGCATGACACATAAGAGAGTTAACTATTCCCAAACACTACAATATAGAGGAAGCATTCATACTAACCACATCGAAGAAACCTGGGCCGCATTGAAATTATTCATCAGAGAACAAGATAGAAACCAGAACAAGATTGAAAAATATTTACTAGAATTCATCTGGTGAAGAAAGCACAGAGAGAATATTTGGGAAGCATTTATCGATATTATAAAGAATTATTAATTATTTTAATAAAAATTTATTAATTTTACTCTAAGATATTTCATATTTCAGTTAAACTTTTGTTCAATAAATTAGTTTTGCCTTTATTCTTTTTCAAATTATATTCTGTAAATTTTATCTTTAATTCTTTGATTTTATTTTTCAATTTGCTAATATCTTTTTTGTATTCTTCTATTTCTTTTGTTAAACGTACAATTTCTTGGTCTTTGTATTTAGGCGAATAGATAACACATTGCAGATTTTTTTCATTGCATTTAACACAAACATTTGGATTATTTTTTAATTTTACACATTTTCTTCTATGTTTTCGGCATCTCAGACATGAAGTTTTCAAGGTTTTTGTTTCCTTAGCCATCAGGAAAATTGTTAATTTTTAATAAAATCTTAAGCAATATTCAGGAATTTATATATTTTTTTTTAACTCGCAAATTTTTATTAGTTGAGAAAATTTGGTTTCATGTATTTGAAAAATACACTACTCATCATGCAAGCCACATAAGCCTAAATATCAGTGTACCGAGTCGCATCTCAGCGTTATAAGCCTGAGGATTCAACCAGTGAATCCATGTAGTGTGCCCCGAGATAACTAACATTTGAGAGTGCTTTTTATTCTCTATGGTAGAAAAAAGCCTAAACACATCCATTTCTCGAGATGTTTCTCAAGGTGCATTTAAAATGCAAACACTAAGTTTTTCGTTCGCTCTCAAGATGAAGAGCCTGGTCAAAACTTAATAACGACTATCTGAAGCGATAAAAAAGTTGACCATTTCGCTCATGTTAACCAGAGAAATATGAATACGCTTCACCAAAAAGATAGTTATCTCATGCGTCATTCGCTGCCTCACATCATATTCATCTCTATGAAGAGACTACGCTTCTTCCTGTTCAGATATTAAGATGTGGGTATTCTCCACCATCTCTCTGATAAACCACGAACGAAAGGGTGAGAAATGTGAAATTGGACGCAATCACAGGTATTTGTACTGTGTCGATCACATAATAAAAATTACTAATTATAGATTAGATGATCATCTACAAAAGAAAATTACACTAAATCACACACATACAATCAGATTACTAATTTTAGATTCATTATAACGTAATCATAGAATGTACCAGAAACTTTGTGCACAATTACACGTTTATTTACAAAAAATAAATATAAATAAATTATTTACAAAAATTACATTTAAAATACTAAATTATTTTCAGCATAATCCAACAAATCGTTATAGTCCAACAGGTAGATATGACTAAAATTTTTATTCAAAACATCTATCGTGTACTCAAAATCCTCTTCATATTGCTTTCTTCTCCAGAGCAATAAATCGAATGCACCAGTTTTGTTGTAGTACCATATCGCATTGTGAAAGAGATTATAGTAACTACGTATATGTGCATCCAAAAATAAGAAATACATCTTGAATTTCTCATATTTCTCAGTGTCTTCTTTTCTCACATCGTCAACATATTCTTCATATCTTGTATAAAATTTTAATTCAAGAACAGAGAATTGATTATCAAATTCAACAGTCGGTAAGGTGGTTTCAAAAGATTCTTCTTTATCGTCCATTGACTTTGTTGACCAAGACTCAACTTTTTCGCAAATATTATCCCAACTATTATTTTGTTTTTTGGTTTTCTTGAAGCATTTTAAGAGTTTTTTAAAGAATTTCATGTTGTGTTTTGTGTGTTGTATTTGTAAAATTCAGAGTGAATTTGAGGTTGTCTTCGTCAAAATTCTTGCTATTAAATAAACTTTTCCTTTGCAAATCTTGCAAATTATCTTTGTCATCATGATTTCTGATTGGTTCTTCTACGTGTTTAATCTGTTTATTTTGGTTTCTTTTTAAACCGGTTTCTTTAATCCCACAATTTATAAAAAAATATATAAAAGCTTTAAATTACTCAGTTAATTTTTAATTAATAAATTTTACAAGGTGAGAGAGTCGTTACTGTGTCTTACTGTTTATCGTCCGATCATTCACATTCACTAACTCTCATTTCTCTCCCGATAATTTAATATTATCCTTGAACTGCTGGGGTCTGCTAACGCTGACGCACTTTTCAAGCGTAATGTTTGATAACAATTCTAATTCAGATGCCAATTCAGATGCTAATTCTAATTCTACCTCTAATGACAAGTTATTGAAAAAAGAGGAATTTTGGTGGTATCGGGAAGATGAAACCGTGAATTATCGAAGGCCTTTGATGTTTCCTGATAATAACGGGTACATAACAGAATATTTGCAAGTTAGAATATAACGAAACAAAAAGTTTTTAATCGATTGTTCTTGCAAGCCTCTCATAAAACAGTGTAAATTCATTATTGAAAAAGACAACATTATAGATGAAAAGAGCAAAAAAATGCTGTTAGAATTACTGTATCCAGAAACAAATATTGAAAACATTAAGTTTAAAAATGGTTGTAAATTTGATCTTCGCGATCTCAACATTGAAATAATAATAAACAAATGTTTTAATATCTGATATGAAATAAATAAATAATTAATTAATATTGTTGTGATTGTGGTTGAAGGTTACTTTGTGAGATGTGGCAAAAATAAGGCCAATGTTAGATATTTTGCAAACTTTAGTTTGCAAAATATATCACATCACCGAGGCGTTCGTCACATCGTAGCAAAGTTACTGCACAACTTTTGTCCAAGCTTTTCTTGAAAAGCGCGTCCAGCGAAGCAACCCCAGCAGTTTCAAGAATAATATTAAATTATCAGGAGAGAAGTGCTATTTGCTTCTAGCGGCCGCTAGGGAGCAAAGAAGCGCGCTACTATCGGGGTCAGGGGCACCTAGACACCGAGAAGCAGCAGTTCATTGTTCAAATAAAACACAACAATTCAGTCAAATTTGTTTTTAATTTCAATAAATTTTATTAGAAATAAAAGAAAATAAACATAGATTACAGTGTAATTTTCTCTCTTCAAGATGTGTTTGAAACTAAATTTTTAGTTTCAAACACATCGTGAAGAGAGAAAATCAATCAGAAAACAAACAGCCTAGCTGTCTATTCTCTTTACAAAACTCTTTTTTTAATTTTAGATGCCAACAACTCATCTACCATTCTATCAACTTTTTCGTTATACATATCTATTTTAAAGTTTGTTTCTACTTCTTTACTAAGAAGTTCAACATTTAAATAATGTACATTATTGGTATAATAAACGTACACACCAAAGCAAAAAAACAAAATAAATATAATAAATAATAAAATAAAAATTATATTTTTAAATAACTTTAAATAGTCTTTTAAAGTTAAGTTCGTTTCTTCTAGAGAATTAATTCTATTCTCATAACGTTGAAATTCTACAGTCATTCTTTCTGTTAAGTAGTTTCTCAACTCTAAATAAAATAAAATATTAACAAAATAATAAATTATTAATAATAATATTTAAAATTCACCTTGTTCAGAGTTAGTAACTTCTTGAGTTATTTCAATTTCTTCAGCGTAAAGTAAAGACATTTTTAATAATTTGGTTTTATTTTTTTTAAAAAATTACAAAAATTTTGAAGTTAAAAATAATAAATTTTGTTGTTTAAATACCATCATTTGCAGTTCTAAAAGATGTTTCTGCAATCGCTTGTTCATATGTGGGTGGAATATCAGATAAATTTTCTGGATAATGTTCCTCTTAATTAGAGGCAAATCTTCCAGAATTAGTTCTTGATAAGAGATAAGACATAATAATATCAATTAATAATAATATATAAAAAGTTTGTAAAAACATGTAAATCTTGAGAAATTTTGTAAAATTTTGTAAAAAATTTGGATTTGTATAGTTTGAAAGTGGTATTTTTTATAACAATCATGTTTGTTATCAGTAGATCATAATCAAAACATATTAGGGTATTGTTTGTCGCTTCAAATTTAGGTTGAATGAAAGAATTGGATGAGCATATTTGGTTGCAGATAGTTTACATGAGACTGCATATCATCTCACATGTAGATCAGATAACAGTATCAATTAACTAAATCAAGACTCATTCTATTAGATTATTTTTATTTGTTTTCTTTGTTAATAAAACTTGGCGTAGCCAAGGAACACTGTTTGAGAGCAGGGTAATAACAGAAGCAAATGTTAATTTGCGGACCCAAAAAAAACACATGAAATGTGTTTTTTTAGTGTTATCCTGCTCTCAGACAGTGTTCCAAATATATAACAGTATTAAAATAAAAAATCATTCTAAATGATGTATTAAAGATTGTGCCAAAAATTCTAATTTTTGGCATGTATTGCAATTATTGTAATAAATTTCTTGATTGTTTTCAATTTCTTTATATTGTTCTATTTCCTGGAATTTGTTACAACTAGTACATTTCTATGTCATTCCATATTGTGAATCATTATATAGCGGTAACTGCTCTATCTTTTTCGTTTAACTGTTGTACTGTAAATTTTTCAAATTCCAAGTTATAAATTTCTTCTTCTAATAGTTCTTTTTCTTTTAGTAATTTTAGTTTCTTTTGTAATTGAAATTCCTCTTCAGTTTGTCTTTGTGCGTTTAAAGTTTCTCTGCGGTTACAGTTTTTACAACATCGTAGTTCTATATCTTTGTTATATTTCTTCGAATATTTTGAGTATTCTTCTAATTTCTTGTAGTGTCCACACTTTGGACAACGTTTTTTGGTAGTTCCTGATTTAGTAATTCTTTTCACAGGTTCATATCTTCTAAAATTATTTCTGCAGTTGAAACAGGTTTTCAATCTTTTTGAT